GATCCTAAGCTAGAACGATCCTGAACAATCTTGAGCTAGAATGATCCTGAGCTAGAACGATTCTAAGCTAGAACGATCCTGAGCTAGAATAATCTTAGATACAATTCTATACTAAAACGACCCCAAACAATAGAACGATGGTAGGACAAAACAATCCTGAGCTAGATTGACCATTCCGATATACTTTCCTTAAGTTAATCTCTTCACCTTGGAAAGATGGTGAAATACGCTAAGGCTTGAGGATATTAACGTATATCCCCTATAATTTCAAAAGTAAGATACCCAAACTCTTTTCTTTGAGCCCAGTAGAAACGAACACTCTGGGGTACGAGTAATCAGTTGCCAAGGGTGAGATTCGCCGAAAAGCTTTTCGCCAATCAGAGTATAGGAACAAGTGGGTTTTATTAGTTAGCGTTCTCAGTCCGTTTCAAACGGAAGGGGACCTTTAGCAACTCGGGAGCTGGGGGTTCTGTTTTCTGCCTCTCACACGTGATCAAATGTGCACTTCTCTGCCCTTGCCACTCTTTCGCGTAAGAAGACATATCGCCTGACTAGTAGTTGAGTCGGTAACGACCAGCGAATCCCAGGTGCTGTATGTTTTTTGGAATTTTTAATGCTCCATTGTCGTCGTCCATTGCCTTATTCTTTTGCCATTGTACCAACACTCTGGATTGGAATAGTATAATGTTAAAGATTTAACATGTGTTGTCTAAGGTCGCTCTATTCTAGATATCCCTTCTTACCAACACCACATGTTACTTCCCCCTAACCTCCCTCAGCGCCTCCTTCAACGCCGCCAAAAACCTCGTAACCTCCTCCTCCGTCCCCACGGTAATTCTCAAGCACCCCAAGCACCCGTGCTCCTTGCCTCTAAACCGAACCACCACCCCCTTCGTCTCCGCCAACTTCCCATACACCTTCAGCGCAACCTCATTGCTCGGCTTTCCTTCCTTATCCAGCATCTCGTACAACAAGAAGTTGCTGCTCTCACCACCCGCCAGCTTACCCACCCCCTCGACCGTAGGTAGCTCCTTCACCAGCCTCTCCCTCTGGGCGATTAGCTTCACCTTGTGCTTCCTCATCGTCTTCAGCCCTTCCTCCGACAACGCATAGCTAGCAATAGCACTGGTCGGGCTCGAGATGTTGTAAGGAGCCTTGAGGTTGTTCAGCAACCGCGCAATCGGCTCGCTGGTAAACGCCACGCCCAGCCTGATGCCGGCCAAACCGAAGGCTTTAGAAAGCGTCTGCATGACGACCAAGTTGGGCCACTCGTTGACCCACTCGGCCAGGGAAGCCGAGTCGGGCGCGAAATCAATGTACGCCTCGTCGACGACCACGACGCCGTTCCAGGTCGGGTGCTCCAGCATCTTCCGGATGTCCTCCTTGGCCAGCAGGGAGCCGGTCGGGTTTCCGGGCGAGCAGAGGTAGATGATCTTGATGTTGGGTTCGTTGGTAAGCGCGTCCAGCACGCGCGGCACGTCGACGGCGAAGGAGGGCGCCGGGAGCAGCGGGATCTTGACCAGCCCCACGTCGTTCACTTGAGCAGAAACGGAGTACATGCCGTAGGTGGGCGGGCAGACGAGGATGCGGTCGCGGCCGGGCACGCAGAAGCAGCGCAAAAGCGCGTCGATGGCCTCGTCGGAGCCGACGCCCACGCAGAGGTTGTCGGGCGAGAGAAGCTTGGAGGTGTGCGCGTGCGTCGTGCGCAGGTTGCACAGAAGCTGCTTGAGGTCGCGCTGGTGAGGGTCGGGGTAGCGGTGCAGGCCGAGGAGGTCGAGCTCAGGACCACTGGAGCCGGAACCGGAACCGGAGGCCAGGCTTTGGGGAACGGGAGGCCCGTAGGCGTTCTCGTTGGCGTCTAGGAGGATGTTGGTGCCATCGTCCTTGTAGTCACTTGAGATAAAGCGTTAGTCGGTGCAAATCACTCAATGAGACAGTGATATGGGTCGAGAACTCACTCGCGAGCGCAGCGATAAGGTTCCAAGGCGAGGATGTTTGGCCTTGCGCAGGTTTGAAGATTGAAGGGCGACATCTTTTTGTAAACGACTGGGATGTGATTAATGAATGAAATGAAAACAATCGGAAAGTCTGGAACGAGTGTTCACCCTCAAATACTCACGTAGGTTACGAGAAAGCCTGAGTGAAAGTGAGGTGTGTGTGTTGGCGTAAAGAGTCACTTGAAAGAGTCATCTTGAAAATCGTCTCAAAACGGCTCGGGGTGAGTTGATGATTTGCGACCGGCCGGTCCCCACTCCGGAAGGCCTGGCCCTTGCCCTTTATTCACGGTTCCAGTCTTCAGGCGGTAGGCGAGTGAACAACTTTATGCCACCAGCAATCCTGTTTTCAATTCCAAAGCCTTCGAAAAAAAATATGTGAACCATAACGTTATCAATTTTGCCTGAAAGTTTATGCTTCTAACCTCTCTCCTTCGACTGCCTTGCCAACAATGGATGTTATCCAACCGGCATCTGTATCTCTCTAATGGCTACTACAAAGGGACCATGGACCATGGGGTTAGGGTTACAACGTGTTATAAACTTATGAGGATACACGGGCCAACCATGGCCTTGGTAACACAACTAGCCCAAAAGGGCTAGGCCGTGTCACCCACCAAGCCAGGGCTGGCCAAAGAGCGCATGCAGAGCGCTCACGGTGAGCAAGTGAGCAGAGCATCACCAGTGAGCAGGTACATACTAGATAGACCTATGGGGCTTAGCAGAGCATCCGGAAACAGGCATCCAATCAAGACTATCTTCCCAATGCATTGCCTTCTCTACCCATCCACTCAGAGCAGCTCTCCATTACAGTAAAGGCTGAGGAGAGGCCTCCCATATATGTCCCAACGCCTTTTCTTTCCGGGCTTGGCGCCCTCAGCCTCTCAATCACCTATGGCCAACAGTGTACCCAACGCGATATTGACGAGTCTTCTGCTTGCAAGACAGCTGTGCCGAAGAGGCTGTGCCCGATACCTCTACTCAATTCCCGTCGGTTGTGGTGGGAGTCAGAGTCCAGCCAGACATCTCGTCCATCGCGCGACACCGAAAAGATCACCATTTTGAACGCGAGGGTTGATACGGACGTATGGAAACCGACAAGCGTTGGTATTGTCGTTATCAGATCGGACAAGGCACCCGCTCCACGACAATGGGGGACGATCTCAAGTACGCCGCTCCTACAAGCAAGAACGTCTTTGAGATTGCGATACTCTGCGCACTACCCAAGGAACGAGCAGCTGTTTTGTTACTCCTCGACGATCTCTGGGATGTAAAGGGCAGTAACCGGTACCGGTATGCTAGGGCCGAAGGGGACTACAACACCTACACGCATGGGCGGATCGGGAGGTTCAATGTGGTTATCGTCCTTCTTGACACCATGGGTAAAGTCCCGGCTGCCGGTGCAGCTACCGCCGTCCGAATCGGTTACCCCAATATTTCCCTAGCCCTGATCGTCGGCATTTGCGCCGGGGTGCCGTTCCCCAAGAAGAGTCAGGAAGTCATCCTCGGCGACATCGTTATCAGCAACATCCTGATTCACCGCGACTTTGGAAGACAATACTCCGATCGCTTTAAGGCCAAGGTTGAAGCCGAGCATGTGTACGGCCGACCGAACAAGATTATCTATGGGAGAGCGGACGGGATCCCGAGTTTTCTACCATCTATGGTCGTATGTGATAGAGGTAAGTATAAGAGGCCTTGATATAGAAGATTTCGGGACATTGGTGTTGAGAATCCCATTTTTATGGTGCTGAACACCATGGTTACCCTTAATTTTCATGATAGGAGGCGCGTACTGGATGTCAGTTGGAACGAGAAGACCGACCCCATATTAAACCTAAAGATACGAACATGAATTGCGAATCCACCGGAAAAAAAAATCTTGCAAACCTCTGAATGGTAAATTTTATTTGAGATAGTGCCAGTTAGGTATGAATATTGAAACTTTGACCATGGACCTGTACTTCCGACCTTCCCATCCTACGTGCGCGCTGTGCGCGCAAACATCGTGAAAGAATTGACATGGCAACCTCTCCTGCATAGGTAATTATCGATAAAACGGGCGGAATCCTAATCATTGGTATCACTCAAAACCAACACATCTTCATTAAACGTAAACGCCATCAACCTCATCAAAGGACGTCATCCCCTTATGATCATCATCATCATCTTCTTCTTCCTCCCTCCTGTCCTTAAACTTGTATTGATTCCCATCAACAAAAGAGAGTGGATATCCCATAAAAACCAGCAAAATCCGCAGCTGTGAACAAAAGGAAAGCCAAGACAAAAGAAAAACAGGAAGAAAGTCCCCATCAATACCTCACAGTATTCGGACTTGCATAGGGATCCCTCCCCATACTCAGATTTCCATACCCCCCGTGACCACCGTGTTGTGTATCATACGGATCAGACATGGCTCCCAATTCGTTTGCCTCTTGATACCCGCCTCCCATACCACCTTCAAGTCCCGCGGTATTCGTTGCGGCGTTAACATCCCTCCACTGCTGTCTGCTCTTCTCCACATCCCGTCTCGCCAGCTCCGCGACAAACGTGGTCTTGGGCATCCAGTTCCTGCTCTTTCTCGGACTGACCTCCTCCATCATCTTGTCGATCTGCTCTAGCGTGAGCCCCTTCATCTCGGGGACCAAGAAATACGCAAACAGCATCGAAAAGATACACAAGGTTGCCCAAATGAAGAAGACCTTAGGGCCTAGGTTGGCGCTACCCTTGGAGTTCCCGACCATGTAAGGGGCCACGACGGCAATGATGCAGTTCCAGAACCAGTTGCAAGCTGTGGAGATGCCGACGCCGCGCGAGCGGATGGGAAGGGGAAAACACTCGCCGATGACGACCCAGCCCGTGGGGCCCCAGGTCGTGGCGAAGAAAAAGATGTTGAGGCAGATGAAGGCGATCATGGCGCGGACGGCGGCAGGATTGTCAGCCTCGACGCGGCCCGCTGTGGTGCCGATGATGGCGACGATGTATTGCATTATGATCATGCCTATGGCGCCGTAGATGAGCAGAAAGCGGCGGCCCAGATATTCGATGGCGACGAAGGAGATGGGCGTGGAGAGTACGTTGACGAGGGTGGTGATGAGGGAGATGAAGAACGGGTTGGAGATGGTGCCGAGCTGTTGAAAGAAGGTGGTGCCGAAGTAGAAGATGAAGTTGATGCCTGGAGGGGGTTAGTATTGTGCCAACATATAGAAAGCTGTGTTTCCTATGACTGCTTGAGTCCAAAGGAAGGGCTTTTGAAGGGAAACGAAAAGAAAACTTACCAGTAAGTTGCTGCCACATTTGCAATCCACAGCCCAAAATGATACGACGAATATTGCTGTTACCCTTGCGCAACGAGCCGTGGAAACAAGCGACCCACGATCCGATATACGACGTCTGAGGAACGACTTGCATCTCATACTCATGGTTCGCCACGATTTCCGCCAGTTCGTCCTTGATGTACTCCGACTCAATCGGCTGTCCACGGACATACGCCAGAGACTTGGCGGCTGAATGAAGTTGGCCCTTCATGACATGATAACGGGGCGATTCGGCTATAGAAAGAGAAAAAGGGAGTCAGCACATCAATGAATCATCATGGTGAAGAAGATTCGAAAGCACCTTGAGCGAACTTACGCAAGATAAACAAGCCAGTTCCCAAAATCAACGCCCACAAAAATTGCACACCAATCGGAATCCGATACGAGCCCGTGTCGTTCCTATCCTGCGTGGCATACACGACGCAGTTGGCGAGCATAATTCCGACGGTAATGCAGAACTGGTAGGCCGACACCAACGCACCACGGACCTTCCTTGGGGCGATCTCGGACATGTACAAGATAATGACGGTCGAGATAAAGCCCACACCCAACCCGGCAATGAGTCGACCAAACACGAACAGAACCGTCTGGTTGGTCGAAGCAATCTGAAGGACGCAGCCGACGCAGAAGATGAGGCAGCCGATGATGATGGTGAGCCGACGGCCGATGAAGTCGGCGATGTCACCGGCGATGAGGGCGCCGAAGAAAGTGCCGCAGGAGAGAATCGAGGTCATGAGCGACTTGGTTGACGAGGGCAGGCCAAAGTTGGTGGGATCGACGCCAATGGGCTGTTTCTTGTCGTAGTCGTATGAGTAGCCCGTGTAGAGGGTGATGAAGTAGGGCATGCCTAGCACCCCGTTAATCCAACCCGTATCATAGCCGAAGACTGTAACAGAAAAGTTAGCATTGGCCTTGAGCATTAAGCACACGAAGTTTAGACTTACAAAGTCCACCACATGCTGCAAAAGCGCAGATAAGGTAGGCCTTCAAGGTGACCGGGGCCTCTATCCTCGAGAGATCCGCCGGTCCCTCAAATGGGAGCAAGGCGCTGACCATCCTCCTTCGTTTCTTTCGTTTCTTTCGTTTCTTTTCCCAGGTAAGGCCGTAATCCAGTTGGTGATCCTCCTAATCGAAGATGGCTTTGCAAGACTCAAACCCAAAGAAGTCGTATATGTTGCTTTCGAGGGATCGACGTTATCGTTATCTGTTGAACTGAGAAGAGATTCTAAACACACGTAAGGTTCGGTATATCACACACGCAAGAGAGACAGCAACAAGACAGAAGGTAAAAGTTCCCAGAAGGGAACTCGAGGGTATGTGTGTGTGGTGCGCGGGATGTGTTATAGGAAATTTTGTCGAGTCCCACGGCAAGAGGGAAGCGGGAACGGATGCATGGGGGATCGACTGTACTGTGTAAGACAAAACCGAACCGGGGTCCTGGAGTCTGCCGTACACTAAACCGCAAAGGGACTACAAAAGGCGAAAGCGAATAGGCAAAGGGAAGGGTAAGAATACTAGTCGGGGCTGTGGGAGAGTGGTAGGGGGTACTAGATCATAGGATGCCGGAGCATGGGATGAAATCAAAAATCCCGTCCCTCGGTCCAAAAGAAGTAAAATGTTGACTGAGAAGTGAACAAACCACTTGGAACCTTTCCAAGAGCGTGTGTAACAAAGAAAGGAGAATGGAAGAGAAGCAGTCAGCTTACAAAAGAGTACGAAAGGCGGCGAAAAAGACAATGGAGAAGCAGCCAGAGGGCCCGGAAACTGCGGTCATGCTCAGGACCATCTGAAAAGACCAAGACATTAAGACATCCCAAAACCCCGGAAACAGACGACCAAGCGTCCCTCGAATGCCGGGAGAAGCCTGGGCTTCATTTTGTTTGACGCAGTAGTAGCGTGCTACTATTTGGCTTATTTGGGTAAGGGCGAGCTACGCCACCATAGGATCGGGGGCCATCTTTTTGTTTTCTTTTTCTTTTTTCGCCAAGACAAGTTGAAATAATCCTAAGGTTACCCTGACAGGTCGGCAGCACGTAGCACAACGCCATGTTCCTCGCCTGCATACATACGTACACCACACAGGCACTTAAATACGCAGCGGGTCATTTCTTGCTGCGTCGGCCTTTGCCCACTTGGGGCTCCTGGGCATGTCTCGGAGCCAGTAGTTTAAGTGGGATAAACCGTTAGCACTACCCGGAGACAGGTTCCAGCGGATGATTTGCGGGTAGCGCTTGTGCAATTCGGATATCGGTTCGGGGAGGCTGACTGCTTAAGAAGGGTCTCACTCCTGAGTGGCATGTTTCTTCTTGAAATACCACCGAGGTAAATACATTGGCTGCCCCAAGCGCAACTCGCGCAGAGAAAGAGAGGCAACAGGTAGGCCAGATACGTAGGCCGTCCCAGTCACTGCAGCTTGCATGATAAAAGAAGGGGATGAAATCCGACTTTGCTTGTGCTGGAAGGCAAAGCCGATATCTGGACGAAAGCGTGATGTCTCGACTCTTGTGGCTGGTTGCCAAAACGACCCGCATCTCTTTGAACCATGCTCGCCATGGTCACTGGAGAAGTTTGAGAATGACTGGCATTCGTGAATCAGAACGTGGATAGTGGGGCATCTGGGGTTCAGTTTTCAACTGGTCTCTCTTGGCTGCGGAGGCGAGACTGGGAGATTCCGGGAGATGATGGAGCTGAATAAGGGAAATTACAAGGCGAGAACGTGGACGATGGAGTTTTTTTTTTGATAAAAAGTCCAAAAGCCACAGAGCAGATCAACCGACAAAGAAGCCGGGTGCAACGGTGATCATCGGGGAGAAAGGCCATGACGGGTGATCAGTGATCTGTGAATCTCCCTGCAAGTCCCTGTTCCCGCATCTGGATGATCTGGTCGAGGTCCAAGGTCGCCAAGGTCGTATCCTCAGCCTGGTGATCGACACGACGCCATATGTACGGTATGCTTTGGGGGTGTACGTCAACAGCAGGGGATTGGGCCATCCGCGTTTTGCTTGCCGCTAAATGTTTCTTAAAAAGGGACGTTGATATGATATCGCGATAAAAACTGCATATGTGATGCTAGTTTTGGAACTCGTCATCTACTGGGCGACTATATCGAATTGTCACCCACTGACCAATATAGTTTGTGCAGGAGATCAGAATAGGTACTCATGGACAGATCCAGAAGCCAAATGTCGGAGGCGGCTAGAAACTTACAGTGCGGTGAGTTGCCTTATCCCATCCACTTGAAAGGGATTCGGCCGATGAATAAAGTGAAGTGTATACGACAACTCTACCGTACCGCCGCGGGTCGAGGACACAAAAGTGCGACCTCAGCGGCGCAAATACCGGCACCGTTCCGCAGCTAGGGCAACGGCTGAACCGGCGAAACACT